TAGTATTTCAACTAATGAACTATTCTTTATTTTATTCAACTGAAATGGTGGACCATATTCAGTATCAGTACTAGAAATCTAAAATTTAATATCTAACAAAGACAGCAGTTGATATACATCAATTTTTCAACTGCTGTCTTTGTTAAATATTAAGTTTTAAATCTCTAGTTCCGACACTGAATGCATTTCCACTATTTTAGTTGAATAAGGCTAACACATTCAATGTTAGTTGAAATAGTCTATACTCATGAGGTAATTTTACAATTCCTCAGGTAAAATGTAATTTAACACACACACACACACACACACACACACACACACACACACACACACACACACACATTTATATATATATATATATATATATATATATAAATGTGAAAGCTATAAAAAAAACCCACAAAAAACGTTGAAAAACTAATACAGAATTTATCCATTTCAATATTTCAGTCAGACGAGGGCACAAGAGGGTGGTCTAGGGAGGATGGAAGGTATTAGTATTAAAGAGAAGAGGTTTTATAAAATTAAACCCGGATAGTAACCTTATGACATTAAATTGGGGTTATATGAAGAATGAAATGTTAATTTAAAACTAATAGAGGAATAAAAGAGGTTTTAAAAAACCTTAAAATATATAGTTATATTTAAAAATACTAAAATCATAAAAAAGTACTATTCCAAAGACAAATTATATTTAAAAAATAAGATATATTTGAATAAGTTATATTTAAAAAAATAAGTCATATAAAAATATTTTGTTTAAAAATAAGTAAAATTATATTTAAAAATAAGTTATATTTAATATAAAATCAATAGATTATATTAAAGAAGAAAAATATATTTAGAAATAAAAATATAATTAAGATAAAATAATTTATACATTTAAAAACAAAAATATAATGAAATAAAAAAATTTTTTAAAGATAAGTTAAATTAAAAAACAAGTTATATATAAAAATATAAGGGTTATACTTAAATATACAAAGTTATATTCAAAAAACTGGATAAAATATATAGATAAAGAGATGTAAGTGATAAAAAAGGAAAGAGAGTTCTTAGAACAGGGGACAATTTAAAAGATAAAATTAATATAGTTTAAAGATGGGAATATGGAAATTAGAATTAGTTATACATTTGACATTTGAAGAGTTAGAGAGATATATATTAATAATATAAATATATATATATGGAAAATTATATATTTTTATACTGAATTTGAATCCGAGGAATGAATTAGTATTAAAATGTTGGCATAAAAACAAATTCAAATTTCCATAATATTGTTTATTAATTTCTGGTCTGTAATAATAAATACATTGAGCTCTTTTTGTGGATCATTTCAATATTTTTTTTATTACTAGGATCCACTCATATTATATACCAATGGATTAATTGAAATTACTATATATATATATATATATATATATATATATATATATATATATATATATATATATAGATAATATTAGTGGAAAATATACATACATATGCAAAAAATATATAAAAAATACCCATACATGTATATTTTCAAAAAAAATTTTCCAAGAGGAAGGATCCAGGTAGAACTCAATGTCTAGGACAGATTAAGGATATAATAAAAAGGCTTAAACACTAATATTCCATGGTCATAATTTATTCCATTGGAATCGTAAATACGATCCAAATCATCAGACCTACAAATTCAAAAATGAAAACAGAAAAAAACAACTCCGAAAATAAAAAACAGAATTTAGAGAAAGTATAAGTATGAGGAGGGGGAGATGAAACCTTAACAGAGAGAATTTTAGGAGATGTGGGGGGGTAAAAAGAGGAGAGAAAAAAAGTCGACGGATGTCTAATGCATAAAGATACATTTCGTGGTGACATATACACACCATAGACAATTAGGATAAGAGGTGGGGAAAAAAAAAAGAAAGAGAAGAGTTGGGGAGAGAGAGATGGGACGAAGGAAAATAATATATATATATATATATATATATATATATATATATATATATATATATATATATTTATATATATATATATATATATGAAAAGTGTATGTATAAATATATATATATATATATATATATATATATGAAAAATATATGTATATAATATATATATATATATATATATATATATATGAAAAGTATATGTATAAATATATATATATATATATATTTATTTGAATAAAAACAGACCACTTTAAGGTTCCATGTAATAAATTATTTCACCACAGCTCTTTTATCGCTAAATTCATTTTGGATCATCAGACTTTACTTCCAAAAGGTTGAAATGAAAAAAAATATATATATATATATTATATATATATATATATATATATATATATATATATATATATATATATATATAAATATATATATATATATATTTGTCTGGAATTTATATTGAGCTCTCCAGATATCATCCTCCTTGGGTCTACCCATACGGATTACTTAGTTTTGTATAAACTATATATATATATATATATATATATATATATATGCAATTTATTATATATATTATTTATATATTATATATGCGTGTTACTTATTGGAAAGCACTCAATATCAGAGATAGAGCTAATATATTTAGTCGGATTGATTGAGTTTGTGACCCTGGGTTTCACACTTTTGTTATCGTCAGAGAAACCCAGGGTCAAAAACTCGCATCAATCAACTATATATATATATATATATATATATATATATATATATATATGCAAATGCATACATATATATATGACAAGATAAAGAACAAATAGGAACTATTTATCAATCTAACACTTTCACTTTTATTACAGCTTCTTCAGTGATTGAGAGAAAACAGACAAAAAGACAGAACTTATTATTTTTTTGTTTTTTGTTTTTTTATTGTTTTGTTTGTTTTGATTCTCATTAGTCAGTCATGTACCACATGCATTAAAACCATAGATAATTCTATATGCATGTTTGTAAAAAATTCTAATACATCAAAGTGGGCATTGGATGGTAATGTGTATTCAAAATTGTGTATGTGTGTCTCTCTCTAGTAAATAAAATTTTAATGTTTTACTTTTTGTGTGGTCAGTTGGTGTAGTATATATATATATATATATATATATATATATATATATATATATATATATATATATTTAGGCAGCATATCTACACTCAAGAATATTTCATTGAACAATGTAGTCATTTTTTGTCTATTTATTTTTAAACTGATACTTTTCAGTTGTATAATCAGCTTCTTGATGTTAAGATGAAATTCATCAAGGAAGGTGCCATAGTTTTTTCTTAACCCTAGTACTTTTGACATTTTCTAAGATCATCTTCAGGGGTAAATTACAGAGACAAACTTATTGTAACTTCAATAAAATCTGCTTTCTGTTGTGATGGCGATTTTTTAAAAATATATGTAAACACACTCTGTTTTAGTTATTTTAAATCTATTCATTGTAGCCATGGAATATTTTTTTAAAACTCTTGTTGAGTGTTGGTTGGTTGATTTTGATATAGAAAGCTTTGAGAATTTGAAATTTTTGTTTATTATTTTCATGATGTAGTATATTGATGTTGCCAACAAGTATTTACCTGTATTTTGAAGGTGAACAGGAATGTGTTTTAGATATTGTGCAATAGAACTTGTATCTGACAAATGATGTGTAAGATGACTTGATAATGTTGTGGTCATCAAGCCAACATATGTACTTACTTTTTTGTCAGAGATACAATCTCCTAAAGGACATTTAAACTGATATACAATGCTGGCTTTTCCAAACCACTAGTTGACAGAGAAGGAAAATACTTGTTAAAAACACCAATATACTACAGTTTAAAAATAGACACAAAATGTATATTTGGTCAATGAAACATGTTTAAATACACACACACACACACACACACACACACACACACACACACACACATATATATATATATATATATATATATATATATATATACTTATTTACCTATTAAAAACCTGATTCACTTTTAGTGATTTTTCAAAATGGATGCCTGTTTATTTGGAAGATATATATTATTGAATGTATAAAAATCAATACTGAAATTACATTGTTTAATAGCCATGTGTTTATAAGGGAGGACCTGAAGTCAGTTAAATGGACCAGAATCAAAGTCTTGCACCTGGGAGGGTGTTATTAATAACATTAATGTTATCAATAAGCCACCTTGAAGTAGAACAATATTTCAAGATCAAATGAAAATTGATTTAAACTGGTCTTGTTGGCCAAATATATAAACCAATTGTTCAAATCCATTGGGCTTCCCAAAAATTGTATCTGACATTTGTAAACTTTTTATATTGCAATGATATTTCAAAATCAGATTTAATTGGACTAACATCATGTTGAATGAAAAAGAAACTGGAAAAATCAAGTTCAAGTAATAAGATTTGTCTGAAGAATCAATTGAAATAAGTGCTGAGAGCTTGTGTCAGTGTATGAAAAATCCAATCACTTGTAAGTAAACCAGTCTGTTCCATAATAATTGAGGAAATAAGGTCAAAATATTGGTTTCCATTGTGTTTATATTCTGGCTGTTGAATAATTATTTCTCTTTTCCTCAACAAATTTGAGAGGGTGAACATCCTACAAGAAGGCAAACCAGACATAAACACTTGTAAGCACCAGATGTGGTGTCTACTAAATACTAAATCAAAAGTCTACTTTTTTTAATTACTACAATAACATCTGGACCAATCAGGGGTTGTCTTCAAGGTTCCAATAATCTTCTTCAGCCTTTCAAAAGAATCCAGGCTTTATTCTTCTGTCTTCATTAGTTATTCTGACAAGCATGTGGACTGACAAAGACCAGTTTCATTAATGCAATTTGTTGGCTTCTCACTCTCCTCACAACCCACTAACAACTACACATCAGTCTATCTCTTCAAAGTTTCACTGGATTAATGAAATCAATCAATAAATAATCTTCTGAGGATTATCAAACTGAAACATGTAAAAAATAACTTACTTTTCATTACATGTATGTATAACATTCTGTTGATTTTAGTCTGTTCATATCTATCTTTCACTCTGTTCATATCTATCTATCTATCTATCTATCTATCTATCTATCTATCTATCTATCTATCTATCTATCTGTTCAGATCTATCAAACTATCTTTCACTCTGTTCATATCTATCAATCTATATATCTATCTATCTGCTTATGGCCACATAGCATTGAAACATTGGTTCCCATATGATCACTGAAGTTAAGCAATGTCAAGCCTGCTTAGTACCTAGATGGATGACCACTTAAGAATAGTAGGTGCTGCAAACTTAGATGTGTGTGTGATATAATGGATTATGACTCAGAATTGTTCATCATGAGAGCTGAGTTCCCATTTTAGTTGGGTGTATTATATTTACTTATGCACAAATACCATTGGGAAAGATAGGGACCCATCTCTTCTCTCCACAGTTATGTAAAACTTGTAACAATAAGGCACTATTACCTCAAAAAATTCTTACAGTCTAAAATAACCTGCAAACTGTTGATATGCTGTAGAAAACAAATCTATCTATCTATCTATCTATCTATCTATCTATCTATCTATCTATCTATCTATCTATCAGTCTGTTCATACCTATCTATCTTTCTGTTCATATTTATCTATCTCTCTATCTTTCTGTTCATATCTATCTATCTATCTATCTATCTATCTATCTATCTATCTATCTATCTATCTATCTATCTTTCACTCTGTTCATATCTATCTATTTATCTCAGTATGTTCAACTTTGTCTATCACTGGGGATTGCTCTGAAAGTAATGCCTCCTATTTTATTATGCTCGCACATGACACCAAAAGCAGATTGTGGTATAGCAGTACAGATTGAATATTATTGTTAATAGTGCATAATTCTTTACCTTATTACAGACAGTATTTTGACAGAAGTGTGTCTGATAAGAAAGTAGTATGATTGAATGTCTCCATACATAAAAAATGATACTTTTTGGCATTCACTGATGTTTGGTGAACATTTATGGAAACCAAACAATGAATGTGACAAAAGCTAAGAAGTAGATTATATGTTTCGGCATTAACAACTGAAATTTGTCTGACAAATCACATCCCGGGTGTCAACCATTAAAATTAAAAAAATATATCATCAACAATGGTGAACAAAGTGCTTGTGACCCCAAATTTGCTCAATTCAAAAGTGTCATTGTGCTCCTTGTGTATGGAAATGAGTGGGGAAAATTATTTTTCAAGTGCCTTCTTGTTTATCTTGTTTTTCTTGTTTATCTTTGTTTTTTCATTTCTATTTATGAGGGGGTGCTGATAATTTTTCACCTAACACACTTTCCAAAATTTGGCTAAATAACTAAAGGTTAAATTGTTTTTGGAAGAGCTTTGTTGACATCTTTTCAGCACCCCTCAGCCTGCTTCTATTTATCTACCTATCTCTCTGTCTTGGTCTATTCATCTATCTTGGTCTAGCATGGATTAAATGAAGAATACAAAGACTGTGTCGCACCAGCCTCACAAGCAAGGCAGGAATGCCACTAGAACAGTTACAGGGAGTGAAAGTGAAATAGAAAACTGAAGATAGAGAGGATTGAGGAAAGGACAAAAAAATGAACAGGATTCAAGAAGACAACTGATGTTGCATTTAACTTTTTGAAGATTGTAGTTATCAGGGAAGCAATGTAATGGTAGGAAGTTTCACATGTGAGAACTGTGAGAAAAGAAACTCAAAGAAAGGAGAAGTGGTGTTCGCTTTTAGCTATTTCAACAGTAAAACAATGAGACCTAGTGGCCAATCTAGTAGCACACTTAAATTCATGTAGTTGGGGCACTAGGAAAAAAACATTATTAGAGAAGTCCAGTTATGGCAACTGTATTCAATGCAACGATGAATGATGGATTTTTAAATATGCAAGATGGATTCTGCCAAGAAAAATTTTCTGGAATGACAAAGTGTCCCAACTTTCCTGGCAGTAGATGCAGCAATTGATCTGATGTAGTTGGTCCACTTCAAGTCAGTGGAAAATGTGAGGCTAAGAAGGCAAAGTGTGATGTCTTGTCCTCAGAAGATGAAACATATCAGCTAAGTTTTCCTTTTGTCTTTATTCCTCTCTCTCACTCTTTCTCCCTCCCTATATATATATATATATATATATATATATATATATATATATATCTTTTTTTATTCTTTATTTTAGGATATTACATGAAATACCCTAATATAAAGAATATTGGTGTACTTTGTATTGAGCCCTCTTTTAAATTGAATGTTACAAACATTGGAATTGGACTCTATTCTTTCTCATTTTACATGGATATATATATATATATATATATATATATATATATAAATGTGTGTGTATATATATATATATATATATATATATATATATATATATATATATGCATTTTTATATATATTATATATATGTGGTACTTATTGGAAAGCACTCAATATCAGTGATAGAGCTAACATATTTAATTGGATTGATGTGAGTTTGTTATCCTGGGTTTCACACTATTTGCAATTGCAAATAGTGTGAAATCCAGGTTAACAAACTCACATTAATCCAACTAAAAATATATATATATATATATATATATATATATATATATATATATATATATACATATTATTATTATTATTATAAATTGATTTTATTTTCTCGTGGCTGTTTTTAGTAAAATCTATGAGTAAAATAATGAATAAAAGATATTTATTTATAAATAAAATAAAGATAATTATTTTTAAATATTTAAAAGTTAATTTGTAAAAATTCTTTAAAAGAGATGGTAAAAATTTTGTACATACACATGACCCATCTTCAAAACAAACTAATTTTCAGTTTTGCAAATGAAGAAGAATTCAACCAGAAAAGAATTATTCCTCACCTTAAACTCAGAGTCTGTCGACAACTGACAAAGTATATATTTGAAGAATATTTATTCAACTCATAAGAACTGTAATCAAGATTGTGTTCAAATATAGACTGACTTTTATTTTAGAGAAAGTGGCTCTTTACAGAGCCAAGATATACAAATTTTGGTATTTAATTTACCAAGTAATCCAAGGTATGTAAAAACTTTTTATAAGAGTCCTAGACAAGAGCTATTCAGTATCTAAGGGAACATTATCAATGTTTTCTTTGTGGATGTGGGTCTATATAATCTATTTTTCTTTATGTTAAAAGAGGGATCAAACATTCTCTGGCAAAATAATTTGTGCAACATTCCCTTCATCATCTTATTATAATTTTTCTTTCTTTTTCCTTTTGATTTAATATTTATCTTTTATAATTGTAATTATTTTTATATTGAAAATTATAATCTTGTATAATTGCTATTATATTTTGTTTAATTTTATATTCAAATTATTTATTTTTAATTTAATTTTTATTTTCAAAAATTGTAATCTAGTATCATATTGAAAATTGTAATCTTTTTGTGATGGACATGGAGTATCTTTCCTATAAAAGAGGAACCAAATCACCTGTGCCATACATGGTTATGTAAAGTGCCTTAGGACTAATAAAATGCCTGTAGGTGGGCATGAAAAAATCTGCATAACTAGGCATACATAAAAGCCATTTTTTGCCTTTGGGGAGAGAAGGATTGCAGTCAGTGAGGAATAAGTTTCAACACGCCAACTGTGAAGTTGAAGGACAAAGCCATGGCAGTGAGGAATGTGAAACAGATTACTATAAATATATTACTACACTTGTGTAATTGTAATTATTTTTATATTGAAAATTGTAATCTTGTATAATTGTAATTTTTATTCAGTTTTTATATTAAAATTATTTCTTATATTTTTAATTTAATTTTTATATTGAACATTGTAATCTTGTATAATCGTAATTATTTTTATATTGAAAATTGTAATCTTGTATAATTGTAATTTTTATTCAGTTTTTATATTAAAATTATTTCTTATATTTTTTAATTTAATTTTATATTGAACATTGTAATCTTGTATAATCGTAATTATTTTTATAATGAAAATTGTAATCTTGTATAATTGTAATTTTTATTCAGTTTTTATATTAAAATTGTTTTTATATCTTTAATTTAATTTTTATATTGAACATTGTAATCTTATATAATCGTAATTATTTTTATATTGAAAATTGTAATCTTGTATAATTGTAATTTTTATTCAGTTTTATATTAAAATTATTTCTTATATTTTTAATTTAATTTTTATATTGAACATTGTAATCTTGTATAATCGTAATTATTTTTATATTGAAAATTGTAATCTTGTATAATCGTAATTATTTTTATATTGAAAATTGTAATCTTGTATAATCGTAATTATTTTTATATTGGGAATTTTTATTGTGAAATAAAGTTTTTACTTTGAAACATTCATCTATTTCTTTTATTTCTTTTTTACTCTTAACTGTCTTTTTTTTTTATAGTTTTACCCCAATGTCAAGAATGTAAGAAAATGTATATTTTTGGAAAATTTGTGTGTGCACATGTGTGTGTGAGTGCATGTGCATTCAGGTGAGTGTGTGGATGCATGCATGTAGAAAATCTCTTTTGTATTTGGAATTGTTTACATGATGATCACTTCAGTAGAGAATGTGTTCCAGTTGAAAAACTATTGATTTTTTTCTTCTGTTTTCCTAAAAAGATATTTTGTGAGGCTCAACCAAATGGTGACGGTGAAAAAAAAGAATCAATCACCAAAGCTGAATGATCTTATTAACACTGATGAGATATACAGCAAGTGATTATGGTCAGAAAGCAGTAGTAACAATGTTAAAAGGGGATTAATTGAAGAGATAATGATCCAATAAGCACTCTTTTCTTTTCTAGTACAGATTAGCTTCTCATTGCAATTGATTATTAAATCCTTGTCCAGATTAAATCCACAATGTATTTCCTCCAACACACGGAGGTCAAAGAACAACGTTCATTTTGAATTGAAAAAAGAAAATATGCCAGAAGCTATTTCACAAACACTTAATTACATGATCAGTACAAAATGCCTATTATTATTTCAACCTTCAGACCATGACACAAAAACAAAATGACACTGTCAAAATAAATCAACTAGATTCTGTTATCAGTAACTATTTTCCCAGAGCATCTATAAATATAAATTGAAATGATTAATTCTACAACAAAGAAGCAAAACCAAACAGTAGCAAACATACTTGCCATATTTGAACTTATTTTTTCATATCCTCTCAGTAGGAGGTAAAGAAACCAATTGAAAAAAAAAAAGAATAACCAAAGTTTACTTTGTGTTAAACATCATCTTTAACGAGATTACAAACTGACAAGGAAAAGGTAATAGTACATTAACTGAAGACAGAATGGCTAAAGTCTTGCAAAAAGTCTTGCAAAAAGTACAAGGTGAACAAATAGATAAAAATCTAAAATTCACTGAAGAAAGCAAAAGTAATGTGAATATTCTCACAAAACTGTGCTATCTACACATTTGCAATTTCATTTGGAAATTTATAAGATTGACAAGATTTATGCTTTCAGTTTCTTTTATTAGTGATTTCTATGGATCTGAAGATCATCTGTTTGTTACCCTCACAAAAAACAATAACATCTCTCTTTTCTTGTAACTCTTTTGCACTGATCTAAGTTCACAATCTATGATCTACAAGCAATCTTTTGTGCCTGTAAGAAAGCAGTTTTAAATGCATCATATTTATTTTCATTGTTTTGACTCTAACACAATGACTTGCATAAAATTTGTTTTTTTCTCTCTCTCTCTTCAAAAGCAGTTTATAATTACCCAAAGCCATACAGGATTAAATTTAAACTAAAAAACCAGTGCAATTCTTATATTCTTTAACAGACATAGGCAACCTTTTTCAACCAGTGGTTTGCATGAGATAGGATTCATCTTAAGGTGGCCTGCACTATTAAGAAGATTTAAGGTAATTTCTCATTGAAGGTGCCTCAGCCATTTTTATTACAGAAGAACATACACATCAGCATCTGCCTAAGAAATGAGGAAAAAGTTGATTTTTTTCTTTGAAGTTTTTTCTATAATTACAAATTGAAGTCTTGATAAATATTAATACAGTTGACAGTATGATTTATTTCTAATTCATTCTCTTGAAAATATATTTAAAAAAATGATTTCTTCTCCAGAGAAAAAATGATTATCAATGTTTCCTGTTTCCATAGTAGCGTATATTTACAAGTCTGATCTTCCTTAGTGAAAATTGCCAAACGTTTAAAATGATGAAAACGTTAACTTTGACGAAAGTTTACAAAATTCAAGAAGCATTGTACTTAATAATTGCTTATGTATGTGGTTATGTATGAGAGAGTTTGAGTGAACAAATGAGAATGAAACAAAACAAACCAAATTTTAAGAAATGTTATTTTCCTCAAGAAATTAGGTGTGCTATTTAGAAAGCCGAAGAGGACTGCATGTCACCTGCAGACTGCAGTTTGCCTAAGAGTCTTCTACAAAGTAAGGAATGGCATACCTGGTTTTTACCTAGCTTTATCCACAAACCACAACCATTTTTCTTCTGAAACAGTAGATTTTATATACACTTGTAAAGTTTACTTTCCTTGAATTGGCAAATGTGTTAATTAATTAATCATCTCTTTGCTTAATTAGGAAATGAAGTCTGCAAACAAATTTAATTTCTTTATTGTTTGGCTTTGGCTTATGTTTCACTTTGTAAGCAATCCATCTCTTCAGGCTTTGACCTTTTCTTCTTTCATTCCCAGATGGTAGCAACTTTAAACAACCTTCACAGTTTGATACTGCCATTCTAGCAACCATCAATTTTTTTATATACAAAGCTTTGGATTTCTGTATATATTTATTTAGCTTTGCTTTGTTTCACACACGGTCAATATATTGAGATACTTCAAACTCACTAGCAATGGCTTGCACAATAAACTCACTAAAAGTTTTGTTCTATGGCCAGTAGCAAGATATATATTTTGAAGTTTAAGTTTATCACAAGAGTGAGGCACCTAGTAAAAAAACATATTTGTGAATAATTTACAAGACAATCACTGGAAGACACTTATATTTAGAGGTGGACAATAAGAATTCTTATAGATAATAAAAAAAACAAACAAACTCTTCTTCATGAATATTTAAACATAGTTTATTTGTTTTCAAACATTTTCTGTCTTCATCATTAAACAGAGTAATTGAAGGCTTAAAACCCAATAGAGAATTTTATGACATTTGATCAATTAAAAAAGCAAAGAAGGATATTGAAGAAGACCAGAAGAAGATAAATGTCTTACTTTGATGCCTGTTCCATTGTTTGCAGATGATGATCAAGAATTGGGGCCAGCAGTTGGACAGCTCTTCTCTCCTCAATGCTTGAAGGACGTACAGAAATACATGTCAGCTTACGTTTTTCCTTATCTGCTAGTCCTATGCATCTGTTATAAAATGAAATAAAGAAGTAATTACAAATAGAAACCAAAGTAACTAAAATGCACCATTGACTATAGCTTGGCTGGGTGTTTTGTGTAGAAGAGACTTACTAATATGACTCCTTTTCCATGATATTTTGCAAGATATTGAGACAATACAAAATGCCTGGAAAATGCATTGGCGAAAATGTAGTGATCAAAACAACAAAAGTGAGGATAAGATTGGTTGGTTGGTTGGTTTGTTGGTTGGTTGAGTTTTATGGCATATCAATCACTGTAGGTCATTTAATGCCAAATTAAGTTTATATATATACATACACACACACCCACACCCACACACACACACATATATATATATATATATATATATAAAAAATATACAGTACAATTAAACATATAGCTGGCAACATTATTCTTTTTCCAAAAAATGTATAGCTGGCAACATTATTTTTTTCCAAAAAAACGTATAGCTGGCGACATTATTGTTTCAAAAACGTATAGCTGGCAACATTATTTCCAAAAAAACGTCTAGCTGGCAACATTATTGTTTCAAAAACGTATAGCTGGCAATATTATTTAAAAAAAAACAAAACATATAGCTGGCAACATTGTTTCAAAAACGTACAGCTGGCAACATTATTTTTCTGAAAACACCATCTCAGGCCTTCCTTGCTGTTGGACATAGTTTATCGTCATACCCAGGATGCGGATGTAGTTTAACGTCATACCCAGGACGTTGAGGATAAGAGTATTAATAATTCATAGAATGCTTTCCCTCAGAATATCAGGCAATACAGGAAGACTAGAGTACATCAGTTCAAATGTAATGATCAAAACAACAAAGATGAAGATACAAGTCAATAATTCATGAAAATTTGTTCAAATAGAATGAATAATTTCTGAAAGAAATCTCCACAATGGTACACAAAAAAAGATAGAAATGGAGTCCATATATTTTGAAACTGGTATGTGTTGTCCATTTTGATTCAATCTTCATTAGTGTCTCTTTCATCAATAATGGCAGGCAATAGTGGAAGTGGCTACAAATAACAATGGCTGACTATTTTATTGATGGAACTGCATTTGTGGCAGATGCATGTGAATTAAGCTATACACAAGCACCCATTGCTACACAGCCATATAAACACACATTAACTCAAAGGTTTTACAGTCAAACAACTTTGCACATGTACTCACAAACTTCCACTTGGTAATATACATAAACTGAATAATATTTTCACATTAAAAAACATGTACACACAGACACACACATACATATATATATATATATATATATATATATATATATATTTATTAAAGACATTTTATGTTTAACGTTCTTTTTTATAGATACAAGTATTTAAGTATAAAAAAGAATGTTAAACATAAAAATGTCTTTAATAAATAAGTTGTCGGACTTTGTCCATTTCTATATATATATATATATATATATATATATATATATATATATATATATATATATCGAAATAAAGGTATAAACTTAATATTACGAGACATTAATAAAAATTTTTAAAAAAACTTTTTTTTTTTTTTTACAATTCCTTTATTGTACATTTTTCTGTGTCAATTTTAAATCTCCCGTTGAAGCCTGAAGAGTGGGAACGAAACCGGTTGCTTCACCCGTTTTTTTAATATGTCTCGTAATATTAAGTTTTATACTTTTATTTCGATCATTAAATTTTGTACCTACAAAAATATCTTTTAAATATATATATATATATATATATATATATATATATATATAATAAGCCATTATAATTGTAGGGGCCCCATACATAATGCAGCTATAGCAGTAGTGGTGTGTCTAGGGTAAGATAGCATCATGGAGCCCATCTTTTTTTTCAAGATGCTTTTGAATCCAGATCTCCTAGACTGGTTACCATCTCAAGGCAAGAAATCCTAGTCAATCCTTCTAATTAACCCATAGCTGGAGGGAGAAGTGTTGGATTCTTACCTCTTGCAAAGGTATTTGTGTGAAAGTGAATGTAACAAACTTGATGGGAATTTGAACTCAGAAAATTACATTACCTGCATATCTTCCGCTCACACACATACATATATAGTAAACCTCAAATATATACACATGCATATTCCGTCACACCTTCACAGGCAAAGACATGGGCAAATGCATACACCTTCAGAGATTGAGAATTGTTTATGAAACATGAAAAATCCTGGCTGACACTCAAGGATAACCAATTGTGTCATTTCCTGACGAAGGCCAAAAAACATGTCCATAAAACTGTTTTAATAAATGTGACAATGATGAAGATATTTCTTTTATCATATTGCAGAATTATGAAAACAATAAAAAATTTCAGTTAACCACAGAAAAGGCCAGAAAGAGGTAAATAAAACAAGATAAGGATACCATTTGACTTCAAGTCAAAACTACACATAACAGAGACACATTCTAAATACACAAATGCACACTTGTTTATATGCACACCCACCCAACATACATGTGCACACATGCATGCACAGAGATAAAGGAAATTGGAAATATGTTTGCTGATATGCATAATTATATATTTCTTAATATATTGATAATTAGATTTAAAGAAACAAAGTCATTTACATTCAATATAATCAAAACTTTTCTCTAACATTAATGATTGTGATAATGATTAGTATGCAACTGATATGTACATTTTCTAAGGAAGTGGCATCAAGAGAGCCCAGTGGAAAATACTGCATTGTCCAGATACCATTCACAAAATGACAATACAATAGCACTGATATTCTACATCAGCTGATGATGTGATAGACTTCTTAGGAGTTTTTTTTGTTTTTTTTATAGTGTGGTTCACCTTATACAAGGCCTGGGAGCCACTAAAGGTAGAGTGTTACAGAGTAAGAGGCACAGTTTATGTGAATCAGTCAGGAAGATAAAGGTTAATCCTAAACTTGAATAAGATTGTAGTAATCAAGAAAACATCCTCTTGAGACTCTAGTGGAACTTAATTCTCATCAGTGGAATATGGAAGAAATGAGGGTGGTGTTTGTTACAATGCACATAGCATGATGGGTCCTAAGTGTGAAGGTTAGAACTGGTGGAACTAATGAATGTAGTTCATCTGAGCAATTTTCATGGAAATTGCTCAGATGAACTAAATTCCTTGCAACTCCTTTCCTCTCACAGATAAAATGTATCAAGCTTCTCACTTTCCAATAGTGACTAAAAAGTGAGAGGCTAGCTACATTAGGCTTATCTGTGAAAGAGGAGTTGCACGGTGGAAAATAATTTGTCACCCATAAGGATGCAGAAAAGCTTTTGAACTCTATTGAGATTGGAAAGTGAGGAATATCACAGTAGTACCCCCATTTTAGGCCTGATCTGACTCTTATAAAGGTAGAGGATAGCATGAGGGATTAGGTACTTTCTGCACTGGTTCAGGGAACCAACCATTTCCCCCCCACATATTTAGTGACGGATCATATGTATAAAGTTCCACATGATGTCTGGGTTGAGTTTGAGGTCCAATACTCATTCAAGGCATGAAGGAACATCCATTCATCATGACTGATGGTAGTTCAGGTCCAATTGGTGATGATTGGATGTAACTCATTTGGTTTTTGAGGCACTGAATGTAACCAGCCAGTTTTTCCCCCTGACTAAGAAATTAGAGTTAGATCAGATGAGAGATCAGTTGCCAATCTGTAGTCCCCACAACTTCTGGAGCTGCACCCATATATCATTACGCTAAGGTTTGGTTTATCAGGTGGATAATGTGAACCTAAAAAAATGCTTACCTCCAGTACTCTGGAAATTAAAAAAAAATCAAATCAATTGCTAAATCTGTTGGTCGGGAAGTTAGTTCACTGTATCATGCTAGACAATTTTTCTTGCCAGAATCTATCTTGCACCTTTATAAGACTACCATATGTCCAAGCATCAAATATTGCTGCCACATCTGATTTGGTTTGGTGCTTCTGCTATGTATCTTAAGATTATTGACAAAATCCAAACAAGAATCTGTAATATTATAGATTATGATCTGGCATTTTGACTTCATTCACTTTCCCACCACCATAACGTAGATTTCCTGTACCTGTTTTTTATAAATATTTTCATGACAATTCTTCTGATGATCTTTCCTCTTTGGTACCTTGACATCACAAATTTAAGCACAGTACTAGATTGGCAGCTAGGTCTCATCATTCTACAGTTGAAATTACTAGTTTTATGTATATAAGTTATATACTAATTTCTTCTGTCTCACTTTTTGCTTTTAGTTTTCTTGTCAACTATGATCTTCAAAAATTAAATGCAATGTCAATCTCCATCTTTCTCCTCAATAACACTTTCTCAGTTTCTTTCACTGTCATTAACCCCTTTTGTCTTAGTGTCTTTGTCATCTTGCTTGGAAATGAAATGATTAAAAAAACAAACAAACAAGAAAACAACCTTAATGAAGAAACAAACAATCCAGAAATGTGATGAAAATACATGCACTGAAACTAGTCAAAAACCTAGAAACTAGGGTGGTAGAATTTCTTCTTGAGTCAGAATCATCATAGTCAGGCATGGAAACAAAGTTCACTCACATGTGAGGATAAAACGATCTACTTGGAGAAGGTGAGGCTACAAAGGCTGATTAGAGATGAGGTAACATCTCCTATCCATATTAAATTAAAAGATGTAAGTTAAACTGCTCTAACCTGCATATTTTTTGCATATTCACCCATACCTGTGAGTCCCAAAGGAAACTTGCAGCTTGCTCTGTCCATTATTATTATTATTATTATTATTATTATTATTTTATGTGCTGTGTCCCTTCAGAACATGGGGAATCATGGTTCTTCGATTCTCCTGTCTTTTGTAGATCTAAGTATAGTTTGTCTTTTTGTTATCCCTCCTAATCCTATTCTGCCAAACATTTACACAAGCTCATTTGCTGCTTTTCCCTCTTGCCTTCAATATGCCTTGCTAGCTAAAATTTTCCAAGCCCTCTTTCCTCAGAATGTGTCTTAGAAATTTCACC